AAAAAAAAAAAAAAAAAAAAATCAGTGGTGTTCAAGATAAGCAACAAGAACAGAGCATCCAAACGGAAGTAAAATGAAATAAATCTTGGAAAAGGCTACTAATGGTATGTAACATATCTGTTCTCAGGTACTGAAAAACATATCTTCCTGCACAATGGAAATTCATAGTTAAGTACCCAGGTCTCATTTCAGAAATATATTTTAACAGCACACATGTAACTTCAACATGTATCACTTTCCTCTTAATTCACTTTCTCATTATGATGACAAGAATTTGTGCTTGGAACAGACACACAGAGTTTATTTGGTGGGACTGATACGTAAATAGCCGATTGTACAATCATTACAACAAATACTCCTGGAGCAGTTTGCTGTTTGTAATTCAAACTTGCTCCCTTCATTCAGGGTTTTTTGGTTGGTTGGTTGGTTTGATTCTATATACAAGTATACTTGTATAGAATGCACCCACATTTGTGTTAACCAATCCAGTAATCAGTAAATAAGGAAAAGGGTGCTGGGAATTTTAGCTTTAATCATTTTTTTCTCTAAGTGGTTTTCTACAACTTACATTACTCTTTTATTTCTGCTTAAGAATACACCCTGGACTTCAAAAAGCAAGCTGTAAATCAAGTCCCTTACTTTTTTTTTTTTAAATGCAATACCTCTGATAATAGGCAATGTCAAACAAATATATCTAGATTCTGGTTTAAAGCCTACAGCAATGGATTTGAAACTTGCCAACCAAAGAAAAGCAAGCAAAAAGGCTCATAAACAACAACAAAACTATTCTTCAAATGTTTCCTACTAAAATATCATGATTCTCAATTTGCACATAAAAATCAATGCAGTTCTACTTTCACTAGCTCATAGTAGAGACCATAGCACCTGTCAGAATACCCTAATTTGAAAGACATGGATTTATATTGACTTCATTAATATAGTGAGAATTTAATTTATTTTTCTGTTATTAAAAAAAGAATGCATTTTACTAAAATAAAATGTTTAGAGGTGTTATAGCCACACCTACTGAGATGCTGTATATCCTAGAAACACTTGGCTTTCGAGTTAACTTCTGTACAGGAAAGAGCTTTTGGCTGATAATTGGCAGAAAATCTAGTTGAAGACAACTCTCCAATAAGCTTATTTCCAATTCTGCTAAAAGAAGTCTTTGAAGATTACTACTTCAAAGTACTTCAACTGCTACCTTTCACTTGATATGGGGAAGATGAAAAAATAAGATTTATCATCACACAATAGGAAACATCATTCTTTCTGGCTAATTCCACTGAATTCCATCCATCTTTTCCTTTTTTCCCTCTTCTTTATGACATGAGGTATAAGGGACTTGACAAGGAATGGATTCAATTTTCCTCTGCAAATGCAATCAATAAAAAATAGAGAGCACTACCGTGCTCTCTTTAAAAGAACTGGAATACACTTCTGATGATTTATTCAATGTATAGGCCCTGGCCTGTATACAAGGCAGAGTATAACTTTGTTTGAAAAGCCTGAGAGCTATTTACTATATTTGAAAATATGTTAGCTGCTGTTCCCTGATGCGGCAGGTACACATACTCTGGGTAGAACGGAAGGGAGCTCCTCAGCAGTTCATTAATCTTCTTTTAGTGTGTGGAATGTATTACACTTCCATATCCTGTTTAATGAAGTTGACTCATTGATTTCTTTAAAGGTAACACCGACTAGTTATTGTTATGAATGAAATATATATTCACAATCAAATATTATGGTATTTAAAAGTGGGCACAGAGGGACAATACATTTGCAAGTGCATATATTTGTATATAAGTGTGCAGACACAGATGCTTCCACCTCTAGCCTTGCTAATCAGATATTATAGAAACTCTACTGAAGGTATAAACTAGTCTTCTTTATGACTTACGTGTTTCACTAATTTTTTCAAGATTACACTCTTCCCAGCTTATGTTAAATTACATAGAATGTTACACATTCTCAACTGTGATTGGAAAGTGGTACTCCCATCTCATTTTACATTGGA